GAAGTGGGGTGGGGTGGGCAAGGGCAAGTGAGTGAGAGACTGAACCCTGAGTCCTTTGCCTTGAGGATTTTTATCTGGAGGGTCTTGGGAAAGGATCTCAATAGAGTATCAGCTTTTCCAAGTGTGTCTCCTCAGGGTTGTAGTCTTCACTGATTGGCGCCAGAGCAGGGATCATTAGGCATCGAAGTTGGTCCTGCTGTCAGCCCATGGTGTTGCCCTGCTTGGCCTTGCTGCTTTTCTGGGCCTGGAGCTGAAACAACTGAGGTCTAGATGTTATCTATAGTTTGACCAAAACACTATCTCTGTGGTCAACAGACCCAAGGCTTTGTTCCTAAGATTATTTCATTTGGATCAGACCCTTATTGTCCTGAGGGCTTAATGCTTAAGGGAGTGGTGGTGCAAGGGAGTCACATGAGGCTATATTCCGGCCCCCTGGTTCCTCTAAGGAAGTATATACCACAGGATTAGGGACATTGGGATGGGAGGAAAGGTCAGGGGAGGGTACGGACTGCATGGCCATTGATAGAAAGGTCAGGGGGTCTAAACCAGGTGACCAGAGATATGCTAGGGGAGGAAAGGTCACCCTGGGGGCAAGGTCCCACCTTACAGTTGTCCACTGCTAGGCATGCAGGGCTTTCCCCCCTGGTGACCTTCTGTACCTGGCCTATCTATCATTCCTACTCTGCTCACTCCTGTCTTAACTGCCTCCTGTATCACAAGTATCTGAATTTCCAAACATCTTTTAACTCTTAATTTCAGTTGAGAGAAACTAGAGAAAAAAATGTTTCAGGCAAAGATACAAAAGAACAATTTATTTTATAATGACTTGATTTATCACTAATAATTTAATAAATTAGGCTAATTTGCAAATAACTTTGAGCTCATGCATGTGCCAGGCATTGTGCTAGGCCTCTTACAGACTCAGGAGGACCGATGCAGCGTTATCCCAGTTTACAGAAGCAGATACTGAGGCCCGCCGAGGTTAGGGGACAGCTCAGGTCTCAGAGCTCGGGTGGCGCAGGCGGGCAGGTATGAAGCCCTGGTCTTCTGGTTCTAACGGAGCTGTTCTGCAGGCCACGTCGATACCCATGTTGGCCTCCACTCCGTCCCTACTGACTGGGAGACAAGATTTCCCCCCCTAAATTCAGTGGGGTCCATTTAGTCACTTAAGAGCCAGTGGGCCTCAGTGACCCCATCTGAGACAAACGCCATGTCTGTCCACCCCCCCACCCGTACTGGGGCAAAAGAGGGTGGCAACACCCCTGAAGAGGAGGAGAGAGAGCCGGGCCAGCGCGCTCCGGCGACCAGGGCGGGAGGAAGCGAACCCGAGGCGGGGCGGGCTTTCGGCCGGTGCGCCCGCCCTCCCCGAGGGCCCCGCGCGGCCATGGCCAT